CACGCCAACACGCAGAGGCTTGCCAATTAGAGCCGCGGCAGTATTATTTCGACATTTGAATACATGCTCTCGGAACACCGCATGACAAGCACACCTTTACAAGCAGTGGTCTTACTGTGTATAATACGTACAGCAGACAAACCGCCTCTGGTTTCCTCGTGATGACCCATGTGTGCCTGCCAAACACGAACACAGACAGACAAACTGGCCTCTGGCTACGGAAAATTGCGACACCAACTTCAAATGAGGGCCAAACAAGACCCGAGACATGTGTTGCCCGCCACAGGTTTTGATCGCCAAGCAGGGCTGCTGTGTGCGGGGGGGTGGGTCGGATTTCAAAACAAAAGGTTGGGCTGGTGATGCGCTCGTGGGGCTGGTGCAGAGAGAATGCTAGTTTTGCCCACTACCGGTACACCCCACAGCACGCGCCTGGCAACCAGGGATCAGCAGCTCAGTGCACAGGACGCTGACTGCGAGGGCTGGGTGTCCAGGGGCGGTAACAGAAGGTCAGCGGGATGAATCGTGCTGCTGTCTTGCGTTGCTGTGTTGCCGATGTCTGTTGTGTTCGGTGATCGTGGACGAAAGAACGGTGTCACAACCATGACCGCCGTGTAGAGGTCATCAGAACGCTGAGAAAACCGGAAGCGAGACCATATGGAAAATGGGCTGCAGAACCAATTGCACCAGGAAAATGCTTGGTACTCACCTCGAAAAAGCTGGGTGTTGTTGTTGTTGTGCGGCTGCTCTTTCAGCTGGGTGGACGCGCTCACCGTCGATCGGCACTGACCTGTAGTGTGTGGGGAGTTCCATCGAGGCGTTATCTTGACATATATTTATGCCGACTTTTTGAAACGGCGAAAAAAAACATTGTGCGACGACCACCGACCACCGACAAGAGACCACCGACATGCCCCATGGCTTCGTCTATTTCTTTGTGTCATTCGCGTCGGACCAGGAGAGAACGGCGGTCCCCACAAGCACAAAAATACCTCCAGTGCGGAGACGGCATGGAACAGGGAAATGCGGACACGCTCGCAACAGAAAGCCCAAGCGGGGCTTCTGAAGGGTCGACGGGGGCGCCTAGTCGGGTCTCCGCCTTGGCAAACTTCGAGGCGAATCGGGTACGCGCAGATCGTACATATATTCTTCAATTGGATATCCGCACAGGATTTTGTACACTGAGAGGTGCAAGTACTAGTGTATACGTATCACCACGAAAAATGGGGGGACTGTCGCCATAATAAGACGACGAAAACACACGCGTTTATCTGCATACCGCAATCTACAGTCCAACCTCTACAAGCTAAGCTTTTTATCACCAACCCATCGGCGATAGACTACATAAATAGTGTAGAAGTAATCTCTTGTCTCGGGGCGGTAGTTGCAACTATGCTGTGTGCGCCGCCACCATTTGTTGTGGGCGTCATCAGTTACACCTTCGGTAGGTGATGTGGGTGCATCAGCTGGGGTCACACGTACGAGGAAGTCGCACACTCTGGAGGGATTCGGTGTCTCGTCCTAACATAAGTAGACTTCACAGAAATCGTAACCACGAGCAAATTTGGGCCATCCTTTTCCCTCGTCGATCGTGCAGTTGAATGTGTTGCGAACACTTGAATTGAGCGCTCTCCGCATGCTTGGCGACATTTGTAAGAAAAACTCCCGGTCCATGTGACTGCGACAAGATCCGATGCATGTCAGAAGAAGGAGATACCGGAGGGTACCAACTGAACTTCTGCGCCACTGCAGCTAGCTCCTGTTCGAACCTGTAGCGCTGCGTAGCAGGCGTCCTTCGGACCAACGACGTACCGAACTCGACCTGTGCATGATCTACGATAGAGAGCAATGCTACTGAACATTGACTAGTACAGGACATAAGCCAATATTTTCATAACGCTCCCCCTCAATGAAAGTTGCGTTGAGTCTAAGAGAAAATATACTAAAAGAAACAAATCCGTTTGATGCGTCAACCAGTAAGATAAATAGCAAATACATGTGCTTGCAGAATACTGTTCCTGTTTTCCTGCGCTAAACCAAAGTACTACAGTTTCAACCTAGCCTAGGTGACTATTCAACCAGAGATGGTGCCAAGTCGAGAAGTTAACGACTGAACTAGTGAATTGATTCACACAACAGACAACACACAAACATTGATGATTTTGAAGATGAAAATGTTGAAGATGTTGATCTTGAACGACGAAGTTGAAGATGTAGAATGTCGTTCTCGATGATGGCTAAAGATGTGAAGTGATGAAGTAGAAGCGCCATAACTCCCCCAGAGAAGAATTGTACGATGAAACTTGTGGAATCAATACGCGCCAAAGAACCCGTCAGGGAGATGAGAGTCCTTCTGGGCCATTGAAGGTGTCGCGTTCGCCGAATTCTCAGGCAGGGTCTCCCATATAGCGTTGAAAGAGAATCTGAACGTGGATGGCTCGGGTCCCTGGTGCTGGGCCAGGTGGGCGTCCCCAAAGTTGTTGGAAGCCTGAGGTCCCTGTGGTTGCGCTACGTGGGCGCTCCCGATGTTGGAGACGTTTGCTTGGCCAGCAGATTGAAGCAGCGCCAGGGTTGCAGCAAACCCTTTTAACTCCTTTTGCTTTTTGGCATTCATCGTCACCGTGTGTAGTGGTGTTGTCATATGAGCACCACTTGGGCTGTCCGTCACCACTGCCTTTCTTGCCTTTCTTCCACTTCTTTTTGTTGGTTTAGTTCCCGGCGGTCTTGCAGTGTCCGCACTCCTTGCAGCAGGAGCCTGCTCCTGCGTCAGACACCCCCATTGCCATTCCGCGCCCTGAAATATTTGGCGTTACATTCTTCATGTCTATGTTATAGGCGATGGCAGCTTTTTGCAGCGATTCGATATCGAGAGAGTCATCCTCGTAGTGTCGGTGTCTGATGAACCCGAATTTCTTCGGCAGGGCGTACAATATAGAAGCAAGGACTCGTACACTTCATCAGAGATCTCCTCCCCCACTTCTTGGAGACGGTCGCGCAGGCGGTCGGTGTTGCTGCTGCGGCTGCTGCTTGGACAGAGACAAATAACCAGCTCTTTTGGTTGGCCGTCGAGTACGGCAAGAATTTTCGGCTTGTAGCGGCCGATGGCCATGCGCATCTTGGGCTCCCACTCGAGGTAGTTGGAGTAGCCCTCGCATTTGCCAATTAGTTCCAACGTGCGGTCGAATGCCGAGGAAGATGATTCAGCCATTGCCAGCCACTTCTCCACACAAGCTCAGAAGGTTGCAGGAGAATGATGCCGTGAACGTCCCGAGTATCTGAGAGACTCGACGCGCAGAAACGGTGCCGTAAGTTTGGTGTGCAAACCCGTATGTGTACTACCCCGTACTGTAAGTTGTAGATTGCAGCCCGGAAGCCAACAACCGTTGTCTGCCGGAACCTTTCAGTATCCGCTCAGACTGTATGCTGTGCTCTGAGAAGGCACAAGCTCAACCGACCACGGACGGCTAGACTGCGGTTGTGTGACGTCGAAGTTGCCAGCTCCGGCCACGTCTTGCAGGCACACTGGTCAGATGTACTGCCCCGACTATGATACTGCTACGCGAGTGCAGTTTAAATCCTCAATCTGCACACGTACCAGAAACCGTATACGTGAAAGATATCTTGGACCAACCACGCCCGGGCGTAGTTGTTGTGACGTCGGCACGTAGTATGTACGTCTGTATGGGTGTGACTGCAGCAATGGATGCTGGCCAGCCTAGGTCAGATCCTCAACCTAGTCACGTACTGAGGCTGCACTCTGCACGTGAAAGATATATTGATCAGACCTACCAATTTGGTTGTTGATGACACACGCAGAACCTTGTGAAAGGTACTCTGCACACGACCAACCGTAACAAACTGTTTGCACAACTCTATTCGCCGACCGGAATCAACGCCTAGAAATTATGCCCCCGAATGCTCTACACGAACAGTACCGTACCGAATGTGCAACAGCGAACGCCAGGTGATCAGTCTGGGCCCAGTGAGCAAGCGGGTTGACTCAGCGCAGAACCTCCAGCAGAAGCTAACTCCAGCAGAAGGATCTCCTCGTACAATCGTAGAAGACGATGTATGTGTGTGCACACCACAGCACTCGACGACAGCAGCAGCAGGAGTCGCAGTCGCCGCAGGCCTCCACTCACTCAAAGTCGAGGCTCATAACCTGTTGTGGATATCGTCTGAGATATCCTTGACAAGTGAGCAAGGGTGTGTCTCTCGATGTTACTCGAGATGGTTGGCACCGCGAGTGGTTGAAGAGCAGTAGGAGTACTTCTTGTGCTGTGTAGAGACGCGAAGATACGCTGAACACTGGCGCTTAGTTGGCCAACACACGTAGATAGATCCACAGAGAAAGCAGAAGTCCAGATGACGGCAGTTCCTTGAGATGACCAGGAAAGCTAAGAGCCATGGCTATCCAGAGAAGTCCATGCGAGAGATTCATGCGAGAGTGAGAGACACGCGATCCCTCGAGCAGAGAAATTCTACAGCAGTAATTCCTCCGCATACTGATGCGTTGCGTGTGAACCGAAACATACAGTATCTACGATGCGTGATCTACGATAGAGAGCAATGCTACTGAACATTGACTTAAGCCAATATTTCCATAAGAACCTGCATCATAAGTAGTGTCTTCTGCTTCTGTCGTAGCGCAGATGTAAGCTCATGACTCCGGAATAACGCATGTGTATGTCCATGTTCCAGGTCTCCCCCCTCAGACACCTCCAAACATTGTACAATATCTCTAACGCCACCACTTCAGTAGGTTTTCAAGCCCGAGGAGGAACGAGTAGTTTCCTCATGGTTTGTATGCCGGAATTACTAAATGCCGAAGTGCGCGTGGAATCGATGATGCAGGTGCCATCAGGGGTTTATTTGCAATGCCGCGTATGTACGTACACGATCCCTTCAAGTTGCGTAGGGACCATCAGGTCCTCTGAACAAATGCAGCTACCTTGTCTACACCTGGAGAGGAAATGACGTCAGCACTGCGATAGCCCAACAACGGCTGCCCTATGCAGAGCCCCCTTCTAGTCAGCATTGGAAAATTCTCACCATGGGGTACACTGGGGATGCCTCCGTTATGCCGGCGTGATAACGAACCGCAGGAAGCTGAGAGGCAACAGAAGGATTCAGACACAGCCAAAGAAAGCGAGGACCGCCAGAGAGCGGTGCTGGAGAAATCCGAACGGGCTAGGGTGGCAATGGAGGAGGCAGAGCGGCAGCGTGCGATGGAGGTGAGACACGATCATCTACCGTTCGTTCGTTCTGTAGCAACAGTTTGTGGACCTGCGTCTCTGTTCAGTGTGTCTTGGTGGGACACACGCAGCTTGAGCGGTTGTCTCGACAAAGCCGGTACAACCAAATCCGTTTCCAATTCTACGGAGCTCAGTCTCGATTGACCAGGATTTGGCTTGTAGATATATAACCGGAGGGAAAAAGTCTTGGCGCTCGAAACACTCCTGAATACCACGCCAGGTGGTTCGACAACGAGCGCCCGTGGACACTCAAATTCCAGAAGCACACAAGCAGGGAACCTGGTGCAAACCATGCTTCAACAGCGAGTTCTGTAGTGCATCCTCCACATTCGCTCCTAGAGAACAACAACAACATGTGGCCATCGTGGTGGCAGGAAACTTAGCCCCGACATCACACTGAGCATTTACTCCTTCAGCTGACTTCCACCGGGGCGATCTCCTCAGAATGTGGTGAATTTTCCACATGACAAAATTTCCTTGGTTGACACACCCCGGTTGTCTTCCCTGAGCGCCCCGCTTTGCTTCCTTTCGTACGATAATGTTGTCGTGGGGTGATGAACCTCTTTGTTGTTTTTTCGTACAGTCTGTTCTGGACGCCAGTTTCGCCTCACGCCAAGTGATTGACGCACCTGACGGGGGCACACTAGACGACTTCTCCACCTATCCCGCTGCCGTGTTTGCGTTCAACATTAACCGCGAGAAAGCTTTCCGCATTGCCTTGCCTGCCTTTGTTGCGTGTGTAGTCACGTCTATGCGCTTTCGCCTTCTCAAGTGTCAGTTTTCGTAGCTCCCCTAGAGACTCGCACCCACAATGTAGAACCTGAAGGGTTATGAGGTTACCAAGTGGAACATTCGGGAACGGCACAGAGACGCTTGGTTTCCCTGAATTATGACCATAGGCCCAACGACGAAAAGAAGAGGAGGAGAACCGGCGGGCGGAGCAGCTGAAGCAACAGGAGGCGAACATGTGTCGGTTCGAGCAGCGAAAGAAGGTGTGTGCACTGGTGCCTCCTAGGGATGTCGTGTCGGAGGCGTGTGTGAAATTTGCTAGCGATATCATTCATTGCCGTCTGTTTTCGGGTGCTTGCTTCTGAAGTATAATTCAGAGAGAGCGTTGCCTTTGCGACACCATTTCTCACCGAACCAGGGCGCCTACGCCTCATGTTGCATCGACATACGTGCGATACTGCCTTCTCTGACTTGTCTGGCAAGGCCTTCACCAAGAGAACCACAATCAGCTGTGCCGTCCACACGTGTTAGTGGGGAATAGTGTCGACAAATACCGAGGTTCACCCGCCAGCTCGCCCACGTTCGTTTAATTGCTACAAGAAACCGGCTCTGCACAAATTGTGCCGCCACTACGCCGATGAAGTGGACGAGGCACGCAACATTAAACCACTTCTGGATGTCAGTGTGTCGTCCAGGATATTGAGAGCCACTTTAGATACATAGGAGGTGCAGAAAGCCTACCCCGGGTTGCATATTTTTTATCACCACACAGTACTGATATGGCGGAACTAGAGCAACGAAATTATCGGGACAGCGCACCCGTACAGTATCTTGACGTGGTTTCGTGCAAGCAAGCCTCTAGTCGAATTGAGAGAGACACTGCGTCTCCAAGAACACAGTGATAGCTCTTTCGATTTAGAAGGCTTCAGATCACACACTCCACGAAGCCTTGACGGTTCATGCACCAGTCGCAATGAAAGCACGAGGTACATCTACAACTACTGTTGTCCCTACGACAACTGGGTTGGGAGCATCAATATACACTACAGCAGCCTGGTCGATCAAGTCATCCCTCCATCGACTTGTGCCGTAAGTTCTCGGAAAAACGGTAACCTCGCCCCGTCATAGCACAGGACGTATTCGCTTGGCACCGAAAAATATATATATATTTTCTGTTTCTCCCGCACCCGACATATCACGCAAGGACGAAGAGAGACGACAGCAAGAACAACGAGAGTCGGATGCCCAGAAAAAGGAACAAGAGGCCTTCGCAAAGATGGAGGCGGCAAAGCAAAAGATGCTACACGACCAGGAGACACGAGACGCGGAGGTGAGAAAGGCGAGCGCCCAGTGCGGTGTTCGTCCGGCGGAGGACCTTTGCTGGACTTTGAACGACCCGCCCCGCCTCTTTCGTCTAAGGCCTGACGCGCTAGAGGCAGAATTCTGGAATCCATTGAGTGCACGCTTGTCGGTACACTCTGAAGAGCATGCTCTAGGCCCAGGTCTATTGGTTGCGCAGCTGCTGTACTGTAGTCGAATACTTTTATCCAACCCGTTTAGGTTCCATGTACTAGATTTCGAAGGACTCCAGGGGATATCTAAAGTTGAACACGAACACAGTGCGGCCAGGTTTCGTGCGTTTTCGCCAAACATCAAGGTATGTCAGACTGTTCTTGTCTCGAAACTATAAAACTTTGAAACGTAGGGTTTGCAGTGACATTTCCACGGTCGACCCGTCGCGCCTGAACAGGAAACAGAGCGTCTGAGGCAACAGGCGGTCTTGCAACAAGAGCAACTAGAAAAGCAGGCTGCAGCGATGGCGAAATTTGAAGAAGAACAGGTACATATCTTTCGGGATACTCGACCAGCATCAACGAAGTACTCAATGCGATTACCTTTCGTGGGCGTTCAAACTTGTCGTAGTTGTTACCTACCTCGACGAGTTTAGCGGAACATCGTTTCGAGCAGATTACCCCCACGAGGCAGGTCTGCATCATTCAGCGGACCAATCGATGGTAGGCCAGCAGCCAAGCCGATAGCGACACCAGCTGGCATCCATTCAATTTTATATCACTCCCCGCTGATGAGCAACCTCAACATCGGGCAATCCTACTCTGAAAGGCGCGCGTGCTCGTTGAAACAGGCCTTGAAAGGGATGAGCGAAGAAGACAGAGGAGCTTTCCTGGAGGAAAAGGCCAGAAAAGAAGCCGAAGAGCTGGCGGCTGCTCAGGCCAAGGCCAGAGCAGAGGAAACCAAGGACGAAGCGGTGAGTAGTAAACCGGGACCTTGATTTCTGTACAGTACGGTAGCCCCCGTAGAACACACCAAAATCAGAGTCTGCACGTGACGGAACCATCATGGCGACTAGGGGAGTCAAGATAAACACTCTACCATGTTGTTCATGAAGCACCGCCGCACCAAATACGCCCCCCAATCGGTGGGTGGAAACATGACTCCTGCGCGCGTTGTTGCTCCCCTCTAATCTCCTGCATGATTAGCAAGAATCATTGTCCGGTTTTACTCGTACGGGCTCACAAACCTCAAAATTGTTGCCCCGACATATCCCTGCTCCCCTTGTGTCAACCCTCAGCCTTGGACGAACAAAGACTCGGGGGCAACCAACTCTGCCGCTAGTGCTGGAAAGTGCTGCGTACTGATGTGACGTGAAATGGTGCCATTTGATGCCCAAGCAGCAAGCGGGAGAAATATGGGCAAGCAACTGGGACATGGTTTGATCTGTGTCCAGGAAAGCCCCAGAACTCGGATCGGCACTAATAACGAAATGAGTCAGTTGGTGGACCAGATCCAAGCGCCTGTTGAACCCAGGCGGGGATAGTCGCGGTAGCACGATCTGGCCGGGAAAGCGACTCCGCTCATCACCCCAAAACTGCATCACGTTTGACCACGTCAGCTGAGAAGATGTTGTGGTGAGGTGGAACGGTACTTGCGAATAGTGATTGTGTGTCATAGCTAGAAAAACTCATTCACGACGGCCGGTACAAGGCAGAAGGAGCCATTGGACGTCTCGTGTGCCTCCCTTGCCTGTTTATCAACCGCATTGGCTCGCAGTATTCCCGACTTTGATTGTTTGTGAGGGGAAACGAGCAGCTTCATACGGTACATGTGGACCACTCGTAAGGGGAAAGGCAAACGTGTGGCGACACAGATTGATATACACATGTGGCTTCGAGCAAGTACACAGCTTGAAGATGAACTGTTGGATTTCGGATAGGGGTGTACCCTTGGTGTCGTATTGCGTTTGGGATTGGGCTCTGGAACCGATGTGTCACGGAGACGAACTGTGTGCTTATTTGTTTGGTCTACGGCCGCCAACTTGTTGCGACACGCATAGAATAGCCGCCACACACGCTGTTCCGCGGTTGGAGTCTGCAAAGTCTGACGTTTTGCGACAGAATCTGCATCTATTCTGGAATCACTCTTGTCTCTGTGTGCATCCATTCGTTTGAGATGGTTCGCGGGGCCGCTAGATGGGCCCCGGAGCCAAGCTGAAAGCAAGTGCAAACACAGCAGCAACATCGATTATCGAGCAACCATTATTGGCACGTAATGAATCACTCCGAGTGCTCGCCCTGCAGCGGTTACCAGCTCCAACACATGTCGCTCAACGTTGAGCCACACGTTTAATATTCCGACGTATTCCACTCGCGTGCACCGCTGCGGTTCATACATGCCCTCGTTGTATCTTGTACAGTAGTGGTCCCTCCATCGGGCCGCAAAACAAAGACATCTCTCAGTACAGGGCCGGAAAAATCGCCTGACATAAACGGAATATTCAAGCTGTCTCAAGGAGGTGCTCTCTTGCGGTCCCGCCATGCGTCGTTAGGTCTCCCCTTGTCTTGTAGAGCAAGTTCGAGCGCCTCGATCCGCTTTTCGATGAGTCCCCCGGCCCCACTCGCGTCGCTCTCAACCATTCCAGTGCTCCTGACGGCATCCTATTGGGGGTATTCCAGTTGGTCCGGTGGTCAGGGACGGGTGGATGAACATGCACAACTCGAGCTTCGAGCAGCGGAAGGTTAAACCATGGCTTGCACCGATGAAGAAAGGTCTCATGACAACCTACACCCGGTATGGGTCGCTAAACGCGGCAGTCATTCCCTCTTCCGTTCATCTGTCTAACGCTCTGTCTTCAACGTTCTAGACCTCACCTTTTCCCTGACACCCGAACCTAATGCTTCCAGTGAACGCCCCGGAATACGTCGAGAACCCCTCCACCTGCTGCCGCTACGGTCTTCACCAGTTGCGCCGTGATCTTTCTCTCCGGTATTCTCCGTGTCTACATGAGTCGGTGTAGGCACTAGGACGCATGAAGATTCCTGCGGCCCGTCCTGGTACCAGGCTTCCCTTTGCTCGTCGTATCGCCAACCGCCGCCACTGTCACCAAGCCCTTCGGCGGCCGTTCCATAGCTCAGAGGGTCGACGGCGTACCACGCCGCGGTCGCCTCGTCGTAAATCCATCCGTCTTCGCCATTCTGGTAGGTGGAGTACTGGACGTCGCCCGCGGAAGCTGCGTCGTCTACGTCAGCGTCTTTCTCGGCGCCTTCCAGATAGTGCGATTCACCCTCCGTGGTGGTGCTGGTGGTCTGCCGTGCGTCCGCGCAGATCGCGGGGTACGCTCGCGGAGGAGGCGAGGCGGCGGCCGGCTCGTGGGGGGGGTCATCCGTGGAACGACAAGCAATCGCATCGAAGTCTTCCGCCGGGAAGGGATTTCCGGTGATCACAACCCGGTTTTCCTCGTGCGGATAGGTTTTGGCCGTGGTGGGCACTTCAGGGGTCCGGTCGTCGCATTGCATGTCCCTGGGGTGGGTGGCGCTGACAGAGGCAGGCGGTGCTTCGCCGGAAGGCGCTGCGCTGTCCGCAGGATACCCTTCGCCCTCAATGGCTGCCTCGCGACTGTCATGTGGCCGTTCGGCACGTGCCGCTTTTGTGGATGCGGTGGTGTCGCCTTTCCCTGCTGATGACGGCATCTGGCCGCACTTATCTGTCTCTTCGGGGGCGTTTGTCGAGTGACTTCTGCCTAGCCCCGCAACTAGGGCCGTCCCGGGTAGCCCTGATTTCGACGTATCAGGCTCTGTTCCGCTGCTGTCTGGACGTTTTCCGTTCTCGGACGATGGCGACCTTGGAGCGCGTGTCGCACCCTGGGTGCGACGCTCTTCGGGAAGATTGTGGGTCTCTTCGAACCCCTCAGCCCTGCTGAATATTCTTCGAGATATGCTCAAAAGTGACGTCAGATCTTCCAGTTCCTGAGCCTCGGACTTTGGGGCAAAGACGCAATCCTCACCTCGCGAGGCGGGTTTTCGCCGTCCAGTGTAGCGGGGACGACGCGAGCTTGATCCCATGAGGTTGGCTGCAAGTCCAGTCCTCATCAGGCGCGTCACTTGGCCGTCTTGTCCTCTGCTTGTGCTCGCTGCATGGACTCGCCTTGGTACCGAGGAGGTATTTTGGTTGACACAAGTCTCGGCATCACCTGCTTGATGTCGGTCGCTACCACGACCCACGCCGCCGCAGCCATGACGTTGCTGTTCGGATGGTGAACCCTCCACAGTCGGATATGGTTTCTGAGGCGACAGGCGCTCACCTTGCTCAAAATCCCCGACAGCAGCTAACGGAAGCGGAAGCGGTCTTCTTGAGCAGCCTCGAAGATCAATCGTACATATAGGCGACGCAGCAATGGGCGTGTTGATGAGTCTTTCCATATCGGTGGGAGGTGTCAGGTTGCTACCACAGTTCTGACGGCTTGCACCTTGACCGTCATTATTTTCGTCTTGGCGACAGCCGATGGAGGACCCATGTGCCGGCGCGCGGCCGCCGTCGTCGTTTCCAGCGTGGTACTCCCCTGGCTGATCATCGCCGGCAGAACACGGGCTCGGTCTGATAGTCGCTTTCCCTGGGATCGTCTTGTTCGAAGGTGGTATCCTCTTAAACGCATGCGCCCGCGCTCTGTCCCTGACCGTGGACATCGGCCGGCGCTTTGCGCGCAGAACAACCCCACCGGTGGAGATGGAGCCCTCTCGGGCATCGCTTCCGCTCGCTTCTTCGCTGGTTACACGGTAGACCCACGGACTGCGCGTCAAGGCCTGAAGAACCAGCCATTGAAAATGAACAGAGATATCCCCTATTTAGAAAGGTAGCACGAGCTGTTATCGTGGCACCAAACAATAAGAACATTGGTGTGTTGTGCTTCAGTTCTGTGGGGTCGCCTCGTCAAAAGTTCTTTCCCTAGGGAACATCTACACACCACGTACCGCTGGCCTCAAAACAAAATCTCTTGCATCCAAAATGTGATCTACTGCAAGGTAGCCGCTACCCCCTGATTCCAGGATTCTTTGAACATGATCTGGTGTTCGGGAAATCGTTTGAAGTTCGTTGCTTTTCCCCCCGTAACTTTACACGCCATCACCTTCTTGAGAGCCAGCTCCCCTTTCGTTCCAATCCTGTTTCCGCGGAGGTCAATCGCTGCTAGGCTGCTAGACGCCTCTACCAGCGGAACAAGGGCTAACGCCCCCGCGTCGGTGAGGTTGTTTCCTCTCAGCAACAGACACCTCAACGGCATAATGGCGCTGCTGCTCAACGTGTTTTGGCCGTTTCGGCCGTCCTCGCCAGCTCCCCCTTGCTGCTCGTACATCGCTCCTGCACCCGGCCATGCTCGCGATCGGTCCGTGCACTGCCGCAAGAGCTTTCGAACAACCTTTCGAGCCGAAGGCGGAACGGCAGGGCGTAGGGTTGTGCGCACGGTGAAGCATGTGTTGTTGCCAAGAGTGTACCAACGCGGATGGTTGAATGGCCGTGCTACCGTGAAAACCTTGACAGGGTGGTTCAAGCTTTCAGTAGCACATTTTTTTTATCGGTAGCTGGCAAAATAGAAAAATGCGGAGTCCAAAGAGGAAGAGCCGACTGGTGAGAATGCTTCCGTTGAGCACAGGTTCCAACTGTCTGCACGTCGGTATGCATGCTCTGAAGTAGGTGGAGTGGGCTTCCTTCAGAGGCACCTAGCATGGGTACCCCGGAACCATCGCGGCAACATCATTTCTCCTCGATTTGCGGCGTAATATTGAGCTCGGAAACTTCCGACATGACTTGTGCTTCGCAGCGCGCCAGTGCCAGGTGACGCCTGATATATTGCCAGAGTGTGGTCGGCACACTACTTCCGTATTCAATGTTTCCGAGAGAGCTCTCGAACCCTAAACTATGCTTCCACGGTTGCTTGCAGATTGTCGCATAGTGTCCACACGAGGTGTCAAGTTCGTTTTCGTCCGTTCCGTGCCTGTAGAACCATGGTCAGACTGCATCATTGGCCACACGAAGGTGGACCGCCGACCATTCACATCGCCATGGCGTTGTCACCAGGAGGTCTAAGCTTTCTTACCCTGACCAAGCCCTGTCGAAGACGCCCCCGTTTTTGTCCGTGATCACCCCCACTAACCTCTACGATTTCCAAGAGCCCGGAAAAGTAGAGGAGCACGAGGGCGGTCAACGTATGAATAGGAAAGTGCAAGGGCATGAAAACAAGATATGTCACCTGGTGCAGTGTTTCGTCGTCGAGGTCAAAACCGGAAAGGTTGAGGTGGAAGCCAGCCCCAGCCGGACGTTTCTTTCGCTTCGCTCGCTCTACCCCGGTCCCTTCATTCCCTTTGGGCTGCATCCTCGATCTCCGTTCCCCGCGACCACCTATGCTGCGTTCGATTTCTTCACCGTCGCCATAGTCGTCGTCGTCGTCCTCTTCCTCGTCCTCCCGTTCCTCCTCCCCGTCACCTGCGGCCTCTATCTCGCTGTCGGTTCCCCAGTTCACAGTGAAAGCAGCACTCTCGGCGTCCGGGCTTCTACAGACATTCGTTGGATGCTTGTCGTAGGTGGTGCTGGGGTTTGCGTCACCTTCACCGGGCGGGAAAAATGGCCTGCCTCGTTCCGTCAGAGCCGTTCTCAAAACCTGCGGTGCACCGACCATTTCGAAGCAGGCGGCGAAGGGACCGGTTTAGACACTTTCGGTTTCTGCATCTTGCACTCGGTGTTGAAAAAACAGGCCGGTAGGCAACCAGGCCAAGTTGTCTGGGTGAGGAGAGGTTAGATGCTCTGCAGCTTGGTCTTTGCGAGGAAGACCAGGGGGATCTAGACGTAAACAGGTTGAACCCCATTGGTGCGTGCTTTCTTCAATGTGTGGAATCTCAACGCATCGGCATCTGCCCACTCGAAAGCTGGTACTGGTAGCAGCTCCCAATCAGCCAATAATTCGTTGTCCTCCGGGGCGCCATAGGACTCTCACGACGAAAAAAGCGCGAGCAGACAGAAATGAAGTTCACCAGCCCTTCGACTGGCTGGTCATATGAAACAGGATAACTCGTTGCCCACATGGTAGCAACGCTGCTTTCCCAGCGTGCAAACAACGCGTCTTGCCAAGGTCTACTCGACGTGCGTTCACCGTCCCATCCTTGGAGCCATACGGGGGCACTAACAGCTATTCGTGACCAACAAGTACCCCCCGCGCCCACCCACACAAAAGTACAAACAACTTCTGCGCACCTCGTTTCCAGGGTGTGTTAAACAACAGTCAACAACGAAAATTTGATCGAATTAATCTCACTCTCACGCCAATAGACAAACCGCAAGGAACTCACACCACACAAACAGACTTCTGTGACTGGCGTAATACCAATGCTAACAAATCCACGCAATTCGCCCCCGGGCCACCCTGACCTAGAACACCTCCTCGTTGCTTTGGCGGCGTCAAGGACAGACAACTTCACCTCTTTCTCTCTCGCCGATTGCTCCGTTGCTGCTGCCGCAGCGCGCAAGCGCCACAATCGCATCTCCGAACGAACGAGCCGCAGCAGCAGGGTGCGGTTGCAGATTGAGGTTCGCCGAGCGGCCGCTCGAGTATCGGAAACAAGCATCGCGCGGCAGGAGAGGCGTCCGAGCGCCAACGCCAGCTCTGTCCTCACCTCGGCGCATTGCTGCGCCGCCAAATGCCTGGTGGCAAGGGCAGTTACGCCGAAGAGGGAGTTGGGGTGGATTTCTTATTTCGTTGTTCGGACGATGAACGAATAGAGTGAGTAGCGCACAAGTGGGTTCTATTTAACAGATCGACGAGCCCAATGGGGATGGTGCAGACGGCGGCTGAAGGATGGGGTCACTCAAAGAGGAGAATTTGTGTGGAAGCCACTACAGCGATTGCCATATAAGAGGACCGCGCCACGCACTGGTTTCATAACCTCCAACGTTCTTGCTTTATCGGGGAACAATTGCGGCACTCCGGACGCGTGCTGGTCTAGATCCCAAAGAAGAATGGTGCTTCCTGTTTTTTCGATCATCCCGTACGTTACCGTTGCATGATGTATCCATGTACCATAAGGTATCGATCTGGGATCGCCCAGAACAGGGCCTCCGTCATAAACACCTTCCAGCCTATCACAAGAAGATTTGATCAACTCTCCTGCCCTCTCCAACGGAACAGTCGGTATGACTATCTTCGCAAACAAGAAGGCCTTCCTTCCCTCTTCAAAATGCGGTCGACACGTTCTTCTTGGTAAGCAAGCGCTTTAGAGCGTCACACCGGTGACGTCTACTCTCGATTGCTTGCACCGCCAAACGGCCACTCTTTTGTCCTGCGTGCTGCCACCTCAGCAATATCTGGCACCACATGTACCTCGTGAGACGAAGAGCACCGAGTAACCGCGCAACCGCTGTCAGAGCCATTCGAGCCCCCTCCCCCCTTACTCCCCGCTCTCGCAGGGATTGCCCTAGGGTATCAAGGCCGAGCACGGCCATGGTCTCGCGAGTGCCATCGCGCCCTGCCGGTGTTTGTTTTCGATTTCATGTTTGGCGAACGTCAGTTGAACCACATATATATTCCGGGAGACCTTTTTTTCGTTCTATGGGAACATGCGGTACGCCGTTTGGAGAGTGAAGATCTATCACACTCCGCAGTGTCACCCACGGCTCGAATTGGCGCCAGAGGTCAAAAGTCTGTTTGTTCGGCCGAACACCGTCATACTGCGAAGTAGTGCGTAACACTGGGATACTCGCCGTCGCCAGCTCCAGCCGCAAGCACCAGATCCCAGCGCCATCCAGCGGTACGGCTTGTTTCCTCGCCGTTTGGAGCTCGGTACACCCGGACCACTTCTACCGGCTGTGAAGCCGGACATTGAGACGGTGTTGGAGGTTGAGCGCATATAAAAACGGGTGAGAGAATGGCGGTGCGGAGCGTTCGCACGGACATCTTGGGGTGCAGCTGTTGTCACATACCTGTGGCCAGAATGTTGCCATACAAAAACCGTGGGCGTTCTCTAGTGTTTACGGGGAACCATCAGAACTTGACTTACGTTTTTCTGGCGGAAGCCAACTTCATTTTGCCCACTGTTCCTCCCTGCAGCACCTCCGCCCACCACCAAACCCACCGGGCATTTTACTGGTGTTTCAACCGCGAAGGCCTTCTTCGAAGGCGGAGATTTTCTCGAACATGCCCCGGACGAGGATACCACAGACGAGTCTCTCGGCTTTTGGCATGACGCCTTTGGGTTCATGCAGGTGTTGCCCTCCTCGTCATCGTCGGGGACGGAGGTGGAGGCGGAGCGGACCATTACTTTCACCGACCAGTCCGAGACTGCGCGTTCCAGTAGGCTCCGGGTTGCCCTCTGCCATTCTCTCGTCGGGTGTGCTGCTGATGCTGGTGCTGGTGCTGGCCCTTGATTCAATGTGGGGAGCACCGGCAGGGGGTAGGCTGATGCCTCTATTGTAGGATGACTTGTTGTTCTTGATTTGGACAACATCCGCCAAGTTTTAACAGGAACATGCCTGAGAACTGCGCGCTCGACCACGACGCCCCCCCGCGTAATGTATTTGGAGCTGGTCAACACTCAACCTTGGTACTACAAGGATGGCGTGTGTACAACAATATTTGCGTGTCTCGAAAATTGGAGCCCAATGCACATGTCACAATACGCATGTGTTTAGAGGAGTAGGCCTATCCGTGCAAGCTGGGGCCTCCTTCTGGTTTGCCATGTTCAGAGCTTCGTCAAGCGTCATTCGTTGTTCAACGGACGTGGAAGCAAGAACGGGATCAACGTGGGTTTATTCTGTCGATGATGAACACGTTGTCGCCATAAATGGACACTTCTGCGTATACGGGTGTGACCACTTGCAGCGCTTTGAGTGTGTCATACGGATGAATATTGTGAGAGACAAGGACCGTTGTTAAAGGCTACAAGCAGGAGGTCCCAGGAAGAAAGTTTCGCTATACCGGAGGAGAGTCCGACCGCGTGGAGATCAACAGCGCCATGAGACTAAAGAACAATCCCCGAAGCCAAAGGACGACTTCCCGTTACACAATCAAGGTGTGTCGTCACGTCCTTACCCACGCGACGTGATGAAGTAATCAGTCCTGTCCTTTCTGACCGCGCCGACGCTGCATCTCGCCGAGCGGCAGCCACGTGCTCAAGCAGAACGTGCCTGTATTGCAACAAGCAACCAGAAATTGTTGTGATTGGGCAACTTTGTGTTTACAAGGCGATCGAACGATTGATTCCCGTTGAAAGCTGCGAGGTGTCGCTCGGCCCCTTCTTTGGATCAAGAACCCGAACACTTTCCCAGCACCCGTAACCTCCCTACGCTTTTCCACGCGCTCGTTTTTCTACATACAAAAATCTTTGAACAAGTGCGTCCAAAGCAAGCCCAGCGTAAGGGCTGACGCGCTTTGCCCCATGTTCTTGGAAGCCATGGAAGCATTGGAGAACCAGAGCAAGACGAAAAATGGGAGTGACTTTGCGAGCCCGGGCATTTCCTGAAAACGTTTGTTGTCTGGACCCCTGCGTCACAACCAGGGATGGCGTTCGCCGTGAGAGAGCCCGTTTTCCGATGAGTCGGATTTTGTTCCGGTCACTACGTGTTCACTCACCCCGTACGCCTTGCAGCACGCGATCCACAACATAGTATACCGAATTTGGGATCTACAGTACTGTGCAGCTATTCCCTGCATTGGGGAGCTTGAATCCTCAACTGGCGTGGCCAACCAGATCATTCATCCGTTCCGCGATCTTGGTTGTAAGACATCTCTGGTTGCTTGTTTAAAAACCAACCTTTCCGCGTATAACTCTCGTGAGCGTTCTGCCGCATCCTCCACTCGCCGTTGCAGGAGAGCCTTCTCCTCGGCGGCGTTGGCTGCCACCTTTTCCACATCTCGCCGCTTGACCGCCTGGCCGAAACTCGAGTGAAAGAGTCGCAGCAAAGTTGGAAATTGAAAATCGAGCAAGATACGTACCTCCGTTTTTACACTGCAGCCGAGACTAAGAAGCTAGTCCAGGAGAACGTGCAGGTATGGGGGTATGTGGGTATGCGTTTGGCGTCGGCAGTACAACCCCCGGGCACCTTCCGTCGGCTAGTTTCATAGGCGAGGCGCTCTTGTTCCGGGCCATGGATCATCTAGCCTTGCGTTTGGCCGGCCCAAACGCAACTACTCTCTCCGGATGATTCTCGGAGGGCATCTGTTGAAGTCGCTGAATCTAGAACTCGGAAGGGATTTGCTACGATGATGGGCATGGTTTATTCTGTCCACCCCGAGAAACCAGTAATCTCAGCCAGAGTTAATTCACCCACCACGCCTCACCACTCGGAGCCACAGGCCACTCTCTCTCCCTTTTCCTTTTTCTCTCATTTTGTCTGGTGGTCCACTTTCGCAGCAAACACTCACACCGAGGTATTTTTCGCATGCCGAGGTTCACCCTATGAAAAAAGCACAAGTTTACCAGAATATGGCGGGGAATGGTTGTAGAAACAACCAAGGCGAACGTTGACCTGGGTTTAGCTGCTTTACGTTCTACTACACCCTCCAAAACAATGACTATTGTGCTGGCCTCAGACATGGACGCTGTCTCGTGCGGGTTGGGTTGCGTTCTTTAGATTCTCCACGGGAAGATTTCAGGTGTGAATTCCACGCCACAGGTACTGCAGGGCTTGAACCCTTACCTCTCTTGATCTTGCCTCAATTTCCTTTTGTCTTCCCCTCACGAGGGCCTCCATCCCCTTCTGGGTCGACTCGAGCACCCTTTCCTTTCCTCGTAGGCGCCTGTGCTGCTCGCTTAGCCTTAGCTGTAGCGACGTCACACACTAGCCACACAAGAACCAAGTTGATAAGGGCGACAGAGCGGCGCAGACATGTGGTCAATCGGTAGAACAATAGGGTGGAACAAACATAGGAGTACAATTGAAGCACACTTGAGAGGATGAAATTCAAGATTCACATTGACCACTAGGCGGGACGACAAAGGGATACAAAGAATAGGCGCTGGCGGGTACGGCAAAGCGGTGCACCCTCGGTTGTGTTGAGATGCTTCGGAGGGGGGGGTGCACTCATAGTCGTGCATGCCGTAGTCGTTAGACCATTGCCCTCGCATCCCTGCAAAGCTGGGACGGAGCACGCCGGGTTCTCACCGGACCAGGCTCTCACATCACCAAGCGCGAAGTGCCGTGAGGTATTCGGCGAGTCGCATGAAGGGTGCGCTGCATCCTGCTAAGGGTGTTCGGCATCTTGTGCTTACTTCCTTGCGTACAGATGACAGCTGCGTATGACTTAATTTATTTTCTGGTGCTTTCACTTCCAGACACTTGAAAGCGCTGTGTAACTGCCTCGAGGGTGCTTGACCAATTTAACACAACGTGGTGCGATCATCCCCCTTGCGCGGAATGAGGGTTCTCGACCCCGCGCAACATAATCTACGCGACCGCCATTCATGGTTAACGCAAAAAAAAAAGTCAAAGGCAAAAAACCCCGGTAACCTGGTTGCCGAGCTCACGAAGTGATCGGCTTGTTTTACAACATCGCTGCCAAGCGACGAAAACCCAACCCCGATGGCAAACACCCCCGGCGGCGGCTGGTTTTACAACGTCGTTCCCAAGCGACGAAAACCCAAACCCCGATGGCATACACCGGAGGGGGAAGATTCTTCGGAGGGGATGATAAAAACACTGCGCCATCTTGCACCTAACAATGAGGCAACACCCCACGAACAATAGCATTTTCAGCCGAACCATTTTTCCCCCAACTTCGCTTCCGCTTTCCAGAGCAGCAGAAGAGAGGCAGACGGAGACAACGTTGGCGACAGAGACAACACCGGTAGCTCGTTATGGGCAATATCCCCCCTCGACGCTCAATTTGCTCCGGACACAAACATGTTCGTGTTTACATCGTCACCTCTCATGCCGGAAGAAGGGTCATCGCTTCTCAGAGTGAAATCGAGGTGGAACAAGATACTTGCCTTCTTCAATCTGCTTGCTTCCGATTTTGACGCCCGCAGCGCCATCTCGACCTCTTGCAATTCCTTCTTTTTTTTTTCTAGCCCAACGCTCAGCCCCGTAATGGTAGTCCCTGCGTCTTCGAAGCCGGCTGTCACGATTCCGAACGAGTGCTCTGCTTCTGCCAAGAGCCTGCCAGACTCCAGGAGCTGATTCCTGGGTGCCAGGGGTCGCGAACGTTCGAGCATGCTTCCCTAGTCATGAGACACGTCGTTTTTCAATTTAGGCACCTTTTGTGCTGGGAACGAGTCTGCCGTCAACGCTGCCATAAATGACAAACGAAGGATTTCACCAAGTCAGGGCGCTCAACCTGTTGCAGATAGGGCCTTCAAGCCATACCTGATGGTCGCGTTGGCCTCCTGCAAGAGCTCCCCCTGCTCTTCCGACCATCGGAGACGTTTCACCTCGGACGGAGACATTTCCACAACATCTCCACAAGCAACTCGCTCCCGCCATGCCTGCGCTGGACAATTTCCGAAATCGTGTTACAAACAGTGCTTCTATGAGTTTGACGAGATGGAACGTTCTGCGCTTCCTTCGTCCTGCCGCCTGTGAGGTTGGAATGAAACGGTCAGCCCTTATCACACCTAGCAGATCAACATCGTACGTTCCGGGGCGTAGGAGCTACATAGAAGGGGGTAGGGAAGCACGTTGCTCATCTTGTCACAATCAATGCAACATCATGTTTTCGCGTACGTCTGTCCTGCGGTTGAGTAGTTAGGAGCGAGCCCATCGAATACATCGTCTTGGACGTTCTTAGAACCAGGCGTTTGCAGTGCTCTAGATGTGTAGGCGGTGCTGTATAAGTCCCCAAAGTCCTCCTCAATTCATGAGACCATGCGTTTTGTGCCGTTCGTGGTAACACTGAGCTCTTTCAACACCAGCACAACAGCGTGCGCCGGTAGGAATCGTCCTAGAGACCTTTGACGGTCGCAGTTGCATGTGATATCCAAACCGCCCATGAAATCGGACACCGTCATGTTGTTCGCACGTGCACATGGTGTCGAAACTTCGACACGCCTTTTGACACACAGCTCGAGCAGGGTTTTCCAATGGCCAAACCTCCGAAAAAGTGATAGATTTCTATTTGGAGACATGGCTTCCTGTCAAGTGTCCCTTTGACCTACCTCTGACATACTAGAGCGCGTGCGGACCGGAAACAATCGTGGAATTGCATTTTTCGCACCTGCAACTCCCGAATGACCTTATCCGTTTCTCGCTCGGCCTCTCGCTTCTGCCACAATCCTTCAAGTGCCTCCTCGAGCTTCGCCCTCAACAAGCCTTGTTCTGACGCCGAAAACAGTTTTAATTAGGTTTACACGCCACCGGCATTCCGCCAGATCCATGGTAGCGTTCACTACTGTGTGCTCTACGTCTGAGTAGCTGTGGTAGATGAAATCATTTTTTGAATAGTTTTTGTGAGGTTGAGCTCGCATGTGGAGGTAGACGCCAACAGCAGTACGCATCCAAGTGTTTTCAATAAACGGTCGAAAGAGTACCACTAATAGCGGTGATTTCGTTGTGGGCTAAACATCATCTGGAGCGAACAAGGGCCATCTAAGGTATTGTCTCCGAGTACATCTAGGCTTCACAATCTTCGACAGAGATGGAGCACAGACAAAACAAAACAGACAAAAAAAAGTTGTCGAAATGTCTCCGCTGTCCCCTTGAGAGAAAAGTTTTCGCGAGCTTTGCACCAGATTGGTCTGTACTCTAATCCGTCGGAGGCGCACACAACCGTTAACGTGCTGATATGGCGTTGGGAGTAAAACGTTTGGAGTTCCAGCAAAGCCAAAGGGATGCACCTACTCGCCAAAGGGCTACCAACTCCTAGGGTACCTTTCTCGGCCGAAGCCACGGTCGCCTTCATCTCAGCGCAGACACGCTCTTGCGCCGACGCCCGAGCCACCAGCTCCATCGACGCCGCCTGTTTAGCATCTGCTGCCTGAGCCTTCGAGACTTCTAGCTTCAGCTCGAGCCCCTTCACCTGGCCGGACAACGATGTAGCAGACAAGGACTTCGCGCACAAAGTCTATACGTGTGGATCATGCTCGAAATGAAAACAACAACGGCGACCTGCGCACGCTGCAGTGGCCTTGCTGGGCGTGGCGCACAACGAGTCTTCGTTTGTTTGGGCAGAAATATATATTGTTTCTTCAGCACACTATCGTTTCTGTAGTAGGCTGCTGGGTCACTCTCAACAGGTCATCGACAACACTCACAAGGCGGGGCGATAGTATGTGCCAGCGAAAGGCATGGGGACAAATATTGCCACAGATACCGTATGCTAACATTAACCGCAACCAACGCGCCACCGTCATTGCAACACATACCACTCCTTCCAAAAGCACTGCCGAAACCACCAACACAACGAACTTATGTCCCATGGAAGCAGAATAACGTCATATAGTTCGATCGCGATCCTGGTAGCTCTAAAGATTTTGATCGCCGATACCAACACCAACACCAACGCACAACCGCTGACCCGTGCTTCGGCGTCTCGTGCATGTTCTCTGAAGGAATCTCGTTTTCGTCCTGCCTCCTCAAGCGCGCCCCTCGCCAGCTGTGCCGCCCTCCACGCTTGGGCCGTTTCTGAGGTGGCGGCCTCCTGGGCTTGCTCTCGTCGCCGATTGGCATTTTTCAAAGCGTTGGCTTTGCGCTTCACCGTTTCTTCCAGGTCAGACACGCGGAGCTGCAGCGCGTCTGAAGCAAACCAGGCAGGTAGAGGGGGAAAGGGAGTAGGATCAGCAGGTGTAGGATAGTCGCGCTTGTATTAAGGGCCCCCAGAACAGCAAGTTCGATGTTGACTAACTTTGAAAACATACGCAAGAGCGCCAGAAACTGTACAACAGACATACAAGACCAGTCGGAAGGCATCGCAAAAAACAGAAATCGTTGAATCCCGCACAGGGCGACAGTAGAGGCTGCTGAAAACATACATTTCACGCGTCTACCTCCGCACGCCCCCTTTTGAAATCAAGATAAAAATTCGCCCTATTGTAATTTCAAGTCCAAAGAGCCAAAACGGCAGGCGTTCAAATAAGGTCTGTGTTGACATGTACCTGGTAATTAGTACTGTTATCAGTAGAGGACACCATGAAGAGGCTTCGTGCGTGCTGGCACGTTCAGGTTTGCTACTGGAGCTGAAATATCGAAGGTTGCAGCAGTCTCTGAAAACAGTCCGAAATCTGCGCCGGAACCAGGCGGCATCCAACATTTGTCACAGCCGTGCTCACCGCCACGGACCCCAATCTCCTTGACTGTGCGTTTACAGCAGTAGCTCATGCAATCTCCTTGACTGTGCGCTTACAGCAGTAGCTCATGCCACGAGCTACTGCGGACAACCCTCCGTTGAGGGGTTTACGGTCCGTGGCGGTGTGCACGGCTGTGACAAATGTTGGATGCCGCTTGGTTCGCTGGCGGA